CCTTAGAAGAGGGAGACAAGAGGCTAAGAGTCTGAATAGTTAATTTCGTCTCTTGACTCACCACATTCTACCAATACTTTCTGCCTTTAACTTATTGATGAGGAAGGGAAAGACCGAAGGAAAAAAAAGCCCTATGGATTACCTTATTTTCCCCTTTCTTGCTATGTCATTTTAAGCATAAGTGGTTAAAGTTAATATAAAGATAATGGAAGTAAAAAAGGATATGATAGGTCATTTGTGCCTTCTTTCTGTAACACCAGCTTCCCAAATGGTGTAAGAGTTAGAGTTTCCGGAAGTATTTCCAAGTCAGTATAGGCCCTCAGCCCACAGGGAAACCAGAAGTGATGATAAAGCACCGTGACACTAAGGGAGTGCTCAGGGAGGGGGCATGACAGAGGGACAGCAAAATCTTGTCTTCTGCTCACCATTGAAGGGTGAATCATAAAGAGGGAAGGGGACTTAGCGACCTCTGTATTTCATACTAAACAGTGTTCCGAGCGAGGTCGCAATCCACACAATACGAACGTGAATGATTAATTTACTGTATTTAACTAATTCGGGAATCATGATGATTAGTTATCTTGATATCTACTTCCTCATCCTGATCTTGAAAAAATTTCCCTCATACTTAGCATTGTCAGGCTCACGAGATGAGATGGTTACCGCAGTTTGGGCGTTCAGCTTAACGCAGAATTTCCTGGCAACTAATATGAGAAAATAAAACTATACAGGGAAAGAAAGAATTGTAATGTAATGAACAGTCTTTCATTCACTCATTTGTAAAAATTCTCAGAACAAGAAAAACAGAAATGTTACTCTTCGGTATGGGACAGTCTACAATTTATTCTTCATTTTCCCAATTTGGGAGAATGTCTGTAAGTATAACTGGCTTATTGAGGTATAGACATGAGTTGGCTTTATTTTTTCCAGGGCCTGTCCCCTGACTGTGGTTGGTTGAACCCCCCCCCTTTCATACTCAGTGGTACCTCTCTTTACAAATTCTCATCTTGATGTCTTAGTTTTTCATTCTCTTTCTGGTCGCCAGCATTCTCTCATGCTGGTATTTAAGATCTGCTCGAACCTTCATTTTCACCTTGGACACTCACATCTTCTTACCTGACCACGTGAGGTTGCCAGCCTCTCTGTGCTTGTCATTGCTTCCCTGGCTAGCTCTGGCTGGCCGTCAGTACAAGACGTGGTGTCTCCTGGGTGGCAGGAATTTAAACACTCGTCACTTGTGGGGTGAATCTGAACACCCTGCAGAATTCTGCCCACAATACCATCCCCAGGTATGAGAGAATTAGATCCTGGAACAATCTGCCTTGATCCCACTGTCTGAGTCTGTTCAGGCTCTAACAAAAAATACCATAGACTGGGTGGCTTAAACAACAATTTCTCACAGTTCTGGAGGTGACGAAGTCCAAGATCAAGGTACCATCAGATTTCTGTCCAATGAGGCCTGCTTCTCGGTTCACAGATGGCCTTCATCTCCATGTGTCCTCATGTGGCAGAAGGGACAGAGGAGCTCTCCGGGTTCTTTTTTTATAAGACTACTAGTCCCATTCCTGAGGGCTCCACCCTTATGATCTAACCATCTCCCGAAGGCCCCACCTCCTGATACCATCACATTGGGGTTTCAACATATGAATTTGGGGGGCGCACAAATGTTCAGTCTACAGCACCCATTCAAGTGCTTGTGAGGCCACCTTCAGATGGTCTACACCTGACAGATGCATCCCAGAGGCCCCTTACCTGGCACCCTGTTGAGTGGCGCAGGCCCAGTCATCTTTCCCTGGCGACATTCATGGTTGGGAGGCCCAACAGTGGGGGGTTAGCGGCTTCACAGCCCTCTCTCTCTCAGTTCTGACACCACTCCCTTCTTCCTCCTTTTCCTAGGGTATGAGGCACTCTGCAGAAAGAGGTGGTTACCACTCACCCAGGGATGGGGGCAGCGAAGGAGGAAAGAACCTCTCTTCCTGAACCTCATACTCCTCAAAGGCCAGCCTCCAACATGTTAGTCCTTGACCATGGAGCAGGAACAAGGCGTGGTGGAGAGCGGCACTTGGTAGGACTAATTTTCCTGCTCTCAGTAAGCCCTGAGAGGGGTAGGCTGACCCCTGACAGCGCAGAGTATGCTAAATTCAGAATGTGAGGTGTTTTATACCAAGCTTGAGGCTTTCGTGTGGATTTCTGAACAACAGAAAAAACCTCCCTCAACATTTTATGGTATGAGTACAAGCACTGAAACCACATCATCAATCATCAATAACTTGCTTTTATCTTGGGCAGTGTGCTGAGATCCACAGTGAATACAAAGGGCTCCAATATATTTTCCTGCAGGCAAAACGATACAGATTAATAGGGAGGCTGATCATATACGTCAACCAAACAATGCAGAAAAAAAAATACCCAGGACAATGACACTAGCTTACGCTTTAATGTCATACCCGTTTTGCAGAAGGAACGAAGGCATATTTATTTAAATGGGATGAGACTAGATGTCTTCGCTCCCAGCTTTATTCATGCTTTAAAATTATTTTTTTAGGGGCACCTGGGTGGCTCAGTCGGTTAAGTGTCTGGCTTTGGCTCAGGTCATGATCTCATGGTTTGTGGGTTCGAGCCCCACATCGGGCTCTGTGCTGACAGCTCGGAGCCTGGATCCTGCTTCCGATTCTGTGTCTCCCCCTCTCTCTCTCTCCCCCTCTCCTGCTTGTGCTTTGTCTCTTTGTCTCCCCAAAATAAAATAAACATTAAAAAAATTTTTAATTATTTTTTTATTTTGAAATAATTTACAGAAGAGCTGCAAAAATAGTACAAAGAATTTCTGTATACCCTTCACCCAGCTTCCGCTAATGTTAACATCTTACATAGCCATGGTACATGATCAAAACTAAGAAACTAACATTAACGTAATACTATTAACTAAAATATGGATTTTTCGAATGTACTCATTTTTCCCCACTAATGTCCTTTTCTTCTACCAGGACCCACTATGAGGTACCATTTTGTATCTACTCAACATATCTCTTTAACACCCTCCAATCTGCAACAGTTTCTTAGTCTTTCCTTGTTTTTAATGACTTTTAATACTTTTTAAAAGTCCCAGTCAGGGGACTACCTGGGTGGCTCAGTTGGTTAAGCATCCAGCTCTTGATTTCAACTCAGGTCATGATCTCACGGTTCTTTGAGAGTTCGAGCCCTCTGTCGGGCTCTGCACTGACAGTGTGGAGCTTGCTTGGGATCTTCTCTCTCTCTCCCTCTCTCTCTGCCTCCCCCCTGCTTGCACACACACACACACACACACACACTGTCTCTCAAAATAAATAAACTTAAAAAAAAAAAGTTCTGCTCAGGTATTTGTAGAATGTCATGCAATCTGGGTTTTCTGATTTTTTTTTTCTCATTATACGAATGGGATTTGTGGATTTGAAGGAAGAATACTACAGAGGTGAAGTACCCTTGTCCTTGATCATATACCAGCATGACTTATTACTGGTAAGTTAACCTTGATCACATGGTTCAGGTGGTGTCTGTTGAGTGTCTCCACTCTAAATTTACTCCCCCGCCCCTTCTATATTTAAGAAAAGAGTCACTAAAATCCAGCCCTCACTAAAGGGGAGGGGAATTAAGTTCCAGGGTGAGTATTGAATAATTTGTGGACATGTGTTAAAGTCATTACAGTAATGTATAGATATTTGGGAGGAGATCTCTGAAGCTATGCAACTGTCTTACTTCTCTTTAAAGTGTCATCTGCTAGGGGTGCCTCAGTGGCTCAGTTGGTTAAGTGTTTGACTTCAGCTCAGGTCATGATCTCGTGGCTTGTGAGTTTGAGCCCCGCGTCCGGCTCTGTGCTGACAGCTCAGAGCCTGGAGCGTGCTTGGGATTCTGTGTCTCCCTCTCTCTCTCTGCCCCTCCCCCACTTGTACTCTGTCTCTGTTTCCCTCTCAAAAGTTGAAAAACATTAATAAAGTTAAAAAAAGGTGTCATCCACTAATTTTAGCATTCATTAGGACTTGCTCACAGCAATTATTCTGTGGTATCTTTTTTTTTTATTATCTTTTAATTCCACCATTGTCAACATACCGCTCTGTGGTGTCTCGATAATGATTTTCTTTTCCCCTCATTTCTCCTATACTTATTGTTCAGAATTCATCTGGAAAGACAGTTTATTCCTTTCTTCCATTTTATTCATTTATTGGTATGGACTCAAGAATACTTTGTTGAGTTATAGATTTGTATCATAATTACTTGTTTTCATTGTTGAAACTGTTCTAGCTTTGCCCCCGGGAATTCTTTTAGTTGACTCCTTTTGACATGCCTTCATCTTTTCTTGTCTTTTCTTCCCCCTTCTTTCTTTTTCTTTCTTTCTTTCTTTCTTTCGTTCTTTCTTTCTTTCTTTCTTTCATCTACAAGAAGGTCAAGCTCCCCATGTGTTTTCCCAGTCCCAGCTCTAGAACTAGCCATTTTTCCAAGGAGCTCTGTTTCCTTTTATTGAGAATGATATTTAGAAACCAAGACCTGAGTGCTCAGTGTGTCCATTGCTTCCAGGGTGCCATTGCTTCTAGATGTCCCAGTGGACAGAGCTGAGAAATATATGTATACTAGCCTATTTCTATACATATCTATATTTATTTCTGTATCTATTCATACCTATATCAAAGTAAACAAGAGTTCAAACTATGCCTCCAACTCTAGTTCATCAACACCACAGAGTTTATTGTAGCCTCTTGTACTTGTCTCCTCTTTTTCTGATAGTAAGAAATCTGCTTCTCCTTATCTATATTTACTTATTTGTTCAAACTTAGTATACATTTAAAGAGTTTCCGAATTGCTAACCTGTCCTCCTCTGAGATACAAATTTACCAACTAGAGTACAGTGTTATGTACAGGTTTGTGTGTGTGTGTGTCCTTATCTTACAGTTTCAAGTGAAAACATTATTTTCCAAAGTTAATTAGTCAGCTCCTTCCCCCTCGGCCCCACCTTCAGTGAGGCTATATCATACATTCGTAAGACAGTTAGGTTTTATTTGTCTTAATCTGCATTCCATCATGGCTTCCCCTGACAGCGTGGTTAATTAAAAAAAAAAAATTACATACAATAAAAGTCACTCGTTGGGCTGTATAGTTTTTTTGTGTTTTGACAAATTTATAGAGTCACGTATCCATCACCACAGTACCAATACAGAATAGCCCCATTACCCTAAAAATTCCTTCATAGTAAACTTCTGTCCTTTCCCCAAACCTGACAACTACTGACCTCTTTTCCTTCTCATAGTTTTGCCTTTTCCAGAAGGCCATAGAAATGGAATCATACAATACGTAGATTTTTAGGTCTAGCATCTTTCACTTAGCCAAATGCACTTACGATTTGTCCTTGTGGTCACATGAACCAATAGTTCATTCCTTTTTCCTGTTGAGTATAGACAACCTCGTCGTGTGGATATACCACAGTTTGTTTTTCCATTTACCTGTTGAAGGGCATCTGAGTTATTTCTAGTTTTGGCATTATGAATAAAGCTGCTATAAATAGTCACGTATGGGCTTTTGCATGAACACAAATTTTCAATTCTCTTGGGTAAACGCCTAGTAGTGGAATGGCTGGGTTGTATAATACACGCGTGCTTTTAAGAAACTATCCAATCGCTTTCCAAAGTGGATACTATACTTTGCAATGAATGACAACTCCCGGTGTTCCACATCTTTCTCTAGCATTTGGTTGTCCACACTCTTTTTCAAGGGGCAGCTGCTGCCCCGCCCCAACTCTGACTTGTCCCTTCTTTTTGGCCTCTGCCTGGATTACAGACGAATCTGCATTCTTGCTTTGCAGCCTGCTGGTATTTGTGAAGGTAACGCTTTTAGGCTACTTCACGTTTCCACTGTGCACTAAAGTACTCTCGCATTTTTAATCTGCTAACCATCCTATAAGGCAGTTTCAGCAAACATTCTTAGAGCAGCGGCCTGCTTCAGAAGAATTCCTTTCTGGCTTTCCCAGACCTTGGCTTTTGTGACTTCCTTAACTCCTGTGTATCTCGGCCTCTTTGTACTACTCTACCTGAGCGAACCCACTGAAATACAAGGATGTTCAAGTGTCTTGACGAGACCCTGTGGTGGCTGTGGATCTGGCACCCCATAGCTCTCCAGCTGGGTGCCTGGGGCCTAATTCTTCAGGAAGGAGCTATGCGTCTGGCCCCTTGGGGTCCACGTCTCCGAAGTTGGCAGCTAACACATTCTCGTAGTCATCAGAGGCCTCATTTGGCATCTCCTCTCCATGTTTCATCTGACTAGTCTCCTTCTGTGCAGATGGCGGATAGGTCACATAATCCCCTAGAGCCACGAACCTCCCTGACTGCATGACAAATTGGACGTGGGTCCCTGGACCATCTGTCCTGCCTTCGACATGGTCTGTGTTTGAGGATGTCACTTCTTCCTCCGCCTGCTGCTGGTTTCCGCTGGCATGTGCCGATGGGACATTTTCATAATCTCTGTAGCACTGAGAAACCATCCAGGGCTGCTTCCCGTGGATGGCCTCAAGATTCAACCCTGCCATGTTGACATAGTCATTTGAGGTCTCAGAAGAACTTTCCTCATCGCTGAGCGGATCATCGCTCTCAGACCTTGGAGACCAAAAACTGGTGTGGTCACTGGCATTCCCACAGCCCTGCTCTCTTTCCTCAGTAAGCTCCAGCTTCTGAGCATTTGGGGGGGCAAAACTGTTCGTGGGGGTGGCGTTGGCAGAAGCCAGAAGACTCTCAGCAATCTGTCCCGCCGTGGGGACATTGATGTAATCTCTGGAATCCTCTGAAGAAATGCTCAGGCAGTCTCTGGCTGCTGTGACATTGACATAGTGTGCTGAGAGAGTGAGGTCCCCACGCCTCTGGAGCCCTGTGGCATTGTCATAGATGCCCACTGTATAGCCGTTGGCAGGATAATGGTCTCTGTGCACCCAGAGGACATTGCCTGCTTGGGAGAGCTATGAACAAGAAGAGAAGGGTAGTGATAGGATATGGAAGCGGAAATATGGGCAAAGCCTTTCTACTTCCCCAGCCAGTACCACTGTCTGATAGTTCTTGTACTTGTTTCTTCCCCTTGGGGGAAAAATCTCTAAATCTCTAAATCGACTGCAAGGCTTTAATTTTTTTTTTTTTTTTTAACGTTCATTTATTCTTGACACAGAGAGAGACGGACAGAGCATGAGCAGGGGAAGGGCAGAGAGAGAGATACACACAGAATCCGAAGCAGGCTCCAGGGTCCGAGCTGTCAGCACAGAGCCCGACGCGGGGCTCGAACTCACAGACCGAGAGATCGTGACCGGTGCCGAAACTGGACGCTCAACCGACTGAGCCACGCAGGCGCCCCCCGGCCTGCAAGGCTTTAGATGCTAGGCAGGTATGAGAGAAGTGGAGAGCAACTGTGTACGTGTAACAACACAGTTTAGCAACAGTGTAGACGTGTAAATTGCTACTAGTTTTTGGCCACAGTATGACTGTTCACTGGGGAGTGTGTTGGGGGGGGGGGAGTGTGATAAACTGGACACAGCCTGCTGCCTCAGAACCCACTGAGAGACAATGTAGCTAAAAGTAGCGACTCAGCCCCCGACCCAGGGTGCAAATCCCAGCCTCGCTACTCTGTGCTGGGTTTGGGCAAGTTACTTAATCTCTCGGTGGCCTTACTTTCCAGCATGGGAAATGAGGATAATCATAATACCTATATAATACAGGTGTTTGTGAGGAGTAAGTGTATGACCATGTGCCAAGTGTTTGGAATAGTTCCTGCCACGTCAAAAACACTAACAAATGCTTGCCATTATCATGAAAGGGGCGGCTGACATAAAGGCTCAGATGATTCTGGCCATTTAGGGATGCCGGTCTGAAATTTCCAGAGCTTCTGACTTTTCAAGAAAAGCCTCCAGACTTGAATGCGAAACCTTTTAGATTTTCACCTGTTGGCAATTGGTTCAAAATGTTCTTCACACACTACAGAGCCCAAGCCAGACACGTTGTGGCCTTACTTGGGTGTGGCACTCTGAATGCAAAATCCCCTCAGGATTCCCCACCCCGCCTCGCCCCCCCCCTCCAAGGGCTGGAACTCACTTTGGCAGTGGAGTTTCCTCTTTCCTGCCCTTCATCGGCCATGCAGGCTTGCTCCCCCAGGAAGTCTTTAGAGGTGGGAGCAGAGCCCAAGGATGGGGTGTAGGGGAGGACGGCGGGAAGATGGTCGCATGGTATTCGAACCCTAAATCTTTGGGTTTGGGGTACGCTGGAGAGCAGGGGGTCAGCAGCAGCGGGACTGTGTTCACTTGAGACGATCACAAACCGATTCTTCGACAAGCAAACAAAGACTTATCTATGGAAATGAGCCCCCTGAGTTTCAAAGTCCTCCCTTTACCGTGTCGGGTGCCACAGTGTTGTGGGAGTCCTCCCTGGGGGCTGCCTTCCGAGCCTGATCACAGGACATGTGGACTTATCGGTGCTCGTTATACTACTCCCCTGGTCACCTCAAAAACGATCTCACATTTGGGGCGCCTGGGTGGCTCAGTCCGTTAAGCGTCCAACTTCAACTCAGGTCATGATCTCACACTCCGTGAGTTCGAGCCCCACGTGGGGCTCTGTGCTGACAGCTCAGAGCCTGGAGCCTGCTTCGGATTCTGTGTCTCCCTCTCTCTCTGCCCCTCCCCCATGTGCACTCTGTCTCTCTCTCTCAAAAATAAATAAACATTAAAAGAAAAATTAAAAAAAAAATCCCACGTTTGATCAAACACTTTTGACGCCAGCTACGGGGCTCAGTGACCTACAAATATACCTGCCCCGGAGGATAATTGAAATAGTTTGGCACAGGCCCCAGAAGTTATTACCACGGCAGGGTTTTTAGGGTGTTTTGAGCACCGACAGCCTTGTTGGAATGCTTGTGTGCCCTCCTGAGGTGATCACTTGGAAGGGGACAGGACTCCTTTGGATAAAGGGTTACCTGTCTTGGTGAAAACAATCCATTTCAGTTCTAACACCATGTCCTTGAATATATGTGCCCTGGTGCCTTGCTTAACATCACAAACACTTGTGCCTATCTTTCCTCATTTCTCTCCCTGGGCAGTAGGGAGGTCCTGAGGCTAGTCTTCCCAACGTATTAATAGGGTCACAGGGTGACTGCCAAAGGACATGCGGTTTGCTCTGTGACCTGAACTCCCTTCCCCCAGTTCTTCTGCCAGAGACACATCCCTTCTCCCAAGGGACTTGTCCTTTCCCTTGACTCTTACCACATGCTCAGAAGGAGGGCTCTCAGAATGTCTGGAGAGGAGGCTCTCGGTACTGAAAATACGGTTACTCCTTGACTGACGTCTCCCTGAAAGGACAGAGGACAAACCCTGAGGATGGCTGGCCAGTGCCCTGAGCGCTCCAGCCTGAGCAGTCCCTGCATCATGGGTGAAGTAGGTTTGTATGGCGTCTGGTAGTTGGGGCCTGATGTTCTGTGGTGGGAGGGTCGGAGCTACGGGCATGATGTGCTCTGAGCCCGGGAACTGCCCTCAGCTTCTAGCAGAGGACAGGAGGACACTAACTAGCACAGGGGCTGGGGAGGCTGGGAAGTTGGCTCCTGGGGTGAACCTTCCCTGCCTGGAATGCCGGAGGCCATGTTCTCCTCTGTCTGTCTTCCCCATCCCTAGACACACTCACCTGTCCTTTGCTAACCTCACATCAAGGTGAAACACCCCCCCCAACGTTTTTAGAGCCCCCTAACTCTCTTTTTAGAGCTTTCTAGGCCCCCAGTGTTTCCTCCTATCCCCTCCTCTTCCATGCTCCCTGAAGGGCACAACGTCTGAAAGTTTAAAGAAAGCTGCCTCTGGGTGGTGAGAGGTGCATTCTGGGCGTAGAAGGTCAGTAACATCTGCAGTCCATGGATTAGAAAGAAAAACCTACCCAGGTCTTCTTGCCTCTGGGGCAAGGAGTCATAAATATTTTTGGCTCCTTGTCTGGGTCGAGACAGAGTCAGTAAGGGCATGATGGTAACTCGGAAGTAAGGAACTTGTCCTGCAAGGCAATGACAGAGATGGAGATCGTGGCAGAGGCCAGTGGCACAGACCATGGGGACCTTTGGGGATGAGGTGGTCCCTGAAAATATTCTCCACCCTCACTATGTATCATAAAATATACATTTTCACAGTTGCCCAATTCCATTTGAGCTAGAAGACTTGGTAGACAGAAGCAGGAGGAAGAAACGGGGGGCCGGGGGCGAGGGTTGGGACACAAAAGTCCCAGGGCAACGGCTTTCAAAATGGAGACACAGCGTAGACTCTCGAGTGAGACAAGGACCAATGTGTCAGAGAAGAACAGAGGATTCCCCAGTGTGATAGTTTATCCCTGGAGAATAAACTGGGCTTTAAACGCCAGGCTAGATTATTGACCCTGGTTGGGGGGGGGGGTCTCAACTCTGGGTGAACAAGGGACTCACGCTTCTTCAATTTATTCCAGTTCCACAGGCCGTAGAAAATCATGGTGGTCAGGAGGATGGCGAGGAAGCCCGCGAACCCAGAAAAGATGGCACTGCTGTGGTCTTTATGTCTGTGAGGAAAACCAAGGGCCAGCTGTAGGAGGCTGAGGAGGTTGGAGAAGGTGCTTTCAACAGGAATTGGAGCCCAAGGACTTGGAATGGGAGCTGAGTGCCGGAAAGCGGAGGTGGGTAGGCTGTTTGGCTGAAGAGAGGGTCTTCTCTATGGACAGAGGGACACTGGACACAGGAGAAGGGAACTGTCCCTTCTGAATGCCAGATTCTAGACTCAGAAAGGCAGAGTAATGTATCAGAGATCCCACGGGTAGGAAGGGGCAGGGATAGAATGCGAGTTGAGGTCTGTTTGGACCCAACGATCGTGCTCTTTCTACCGCACCACATTATCCTCCAAGTTTGCAAAATCATGCTCCTCTGCCTTTACTTCCCCTTATCCCCTACTCCTGGGCTTCCTGTCTTGTGTGGAAGAGGGGTTACCCCACGCACAGTGAGGGAGCTCTCTGTGCCGGAGTCCAGCCTGCAGGCACTTGAGCCACCCCCATGCACCAACGTGTGGAGCTGGCCGCCAAGCAACATTTGCTGTTTCGTGGGGTGTAACCGGTGCAAAGGCAGGAGACGGTTTGTGCTGCTGGCGATTCCCTGACAGGACTGGGGCTGCTGCCACTGTAACAAGAGCCAACAGAGGTTACGGCGGGAATCGCCAGGGGACCTGCTACCTCCAAATATCAGAAACCCGATCAGCTACCAGGGAAGGGTTTTGTCCTCCTGAGACCTAGGCTTGTTTACCCAATTTACACTGGACATTTCCGCCAGGCTCCCCAGTGGACGTCTCCAGCCAAATAGGCCTCAAAGAGAATGCCTGTTCTTCTCTCATAAGCCTGCTTCTCCTGTGGTGTCTCCCATCATCTAGTGGCTCAGTCGGAAACCTTGGAGCCGTCCTTGAGCGCTCCTTTTCGTTCACACCTCACTTCCAGTCAAGCAGCAGATTCCGTCTGCTCCATCCTGGGCATCTTTCCCAAACCCAGTCACCTTTTGCTCCTCCACTGCCAACGCTCGGTCCATGTGGAGGTTTGTAGCACCCTCCCGCATGCGACGCCTGGCTTTCCCTCTTGACCCCGGCATATTATCTTCACGCACGAGCCAGTGTGGTCCTCCTGACAGTAAACCAGATCACGTCCCCCATATTCTTGTGACCTGCATAATTTCCCATCACACTTGGGAAGACAGCCACAGTCCCTACCCAGTGAAGACGTCCTGGCACCTTATGTGCTGGCCTCTGTCTGTCTTCTGACCTCGTTTCCTGCCACTTTCCATCTGACTTTGACAGCTAGGATTCGAGGCTCTTCCTCGTCCGTGCAAAGCGTAGTCCTGCCTCCGACCTACAGGGCCCTCTCCCAGGTGTCTGCGTAGCTCGGTCCATCATTTCACTCAGGTCTCTTCTGAAATGTCACCTGTTCAGACAGGCCCTCCCAGTCCACACTCTATTACTCTTGGTCCCCTTAACTCTGCTCTAGTTTTTCAGACTTAAGGCTGACTGGCATTATATTACATATCGATTTGTTTATCTGTTAAGATCTGACTTTTCCACTTGACTGTAAGCTCCAGGAGGCCATGGACTTGTCTATCCTGTTTATCTGGTGCCTGGAACAGTGCCTGATACTTAGTAAGGGCATGATGAACATTTGTTGAATGAGTGCGTAAATTAATAAACACGAAGGAATACAGAAGTGATGATTTCTGGGGGGATTCCGAGTTCTGACAACTTTATGAATTCATTCCCCATCAATGCTCCTATTCACCTGCAGGTGACATATATTTGTTTGTTATGGTAATAACATTTATTTCCCTGAACGACAGCGATTTTAAATTTATCATTTTTGGGGCGCCTGGGTGGCTCAGTTGGTTAAGCCTCTGACTTCAGCTCAGGTCATGATCTCGTGATTCGTGAGTTAGAGCCCCACAGCTTGGAGCCTGGAGGCTGCTTCGGATTCTGTCTGTCTGTCTGTCTGTCTCTCTCTGCCCCTCCCCCATTCACACTCTGTCTCTCTCTCGCTCTCAAAAATAAAAGTAAACATTAAAAAAAATGTATTTGTTATCGCAGCACTGAGATTTATACCCACCAGTGTTGCTAAAGCTTCAACTGCTGATGTTTTTTTTTTTTTTTTATTGTTAGTATGATACTGAAAGTTTTAGCAGTAAAATTTATATCCACGATTAGTTCTGTGAGATTTTATATGCTAAAGATATAGCTTTATCACATCTATGGTTGCATTTTCCATTATCACATCTATGGTTGCATTTTCCATTCATGGAAAGTTTTCTTTTTTTTTTTTTTTAATTTTTTTTTTTCAACGTTTATTTATTTTTGGGACAGAGAGAGACAGAGCATGAACGGGGGAGGGGCAGAGAGAGAGGGAGACACAGAATCGGAAACAGGCTCCAGGTTCTGAGCCATCAGCCCAGAGCCTGACGCGGGGCTCGAACTCACGGACCGCAAGATCGTGACCTGGCTGAAGTCGGACGCTTAACCGACTGCGCCACCCAGGTGCCCCTTTTCATGGAAAGTTTTTAGGACCTAAAAACACATCATTGAAAAAAGTAGGCCTTTTGTTTCCATTATGGGAGGGCCTAGTTTTTTGTGTGTTTTTTGTGGTGGGGGGACTGGTGGTTGGGACCTGAGACAGGAAAGATTGGGGACAGTGATGGACCGGGTCTCTGGGAGGTCAGAAATCCTACCAGGCCAGGCAGCGAGCTCTAGGGAAATCCTGTGTTATCACAGCTACCCCCTGCGACTCCTTTTTTCTCGTCAACACCAACTCCTTTCCTCCCAGCAGCCCTGAGAAAACTTCTCTAAGCCTGGAGTTTGGTGGTCTCAGTGGACCTGAGCCTGGCTGTGAGGGCTAGGAGCACTGCTGGGGTAGAGGCCCCCCCCCCCCCCCCCAGGGTCCACCAGGGATGTCTGTCTAAATCTGGGGAGGGCGGAGTCACTCACCTGTCCAGGCTGCCACCAGTTTCCTGCAGAGTCCTGGCCTCCGAGGTCCCCCCTCTGATTTCTGAAAGGGTTGGGGTGATCATATCCATTTCCATGGGAACCTCTCTGGCTTCAGCTTCTCCTTCTAAGCCTTCTCTTAATTCTCATCAGCTAGTGCATGTTGCCACTTCTCTTGGATCTTCCCAAGTTGTCGACCCCCAGGAGAAAAGGCAAAATTGGTTTGTGTTTTACATATCATCATGACCACTTTTTTAAGTAGATAAGAACGATGGACACCCTCCCCATCCCCATGTTTTCCAATCTTTCTAGAGCTTTCTTTCCCCCCGCCAACTTTCTACCTTGTATCTACCTTGCAACTGTCAGGCTGCATTGACCCCAAATACAAAAACAACAGGTTCGCTTCTACCTGGATGTGGTTACAGTGCCGGAGGCGAGAGCTCAGCCGGGTATGGTGTCTCCCAAGCGACGTGGCTCAGGGAGACGCTACGCTCTCTGCCTTCTGGTGGAAGTATGAGGGGCGAGGAGGGGGGAACTGCCAAGAGGCCCGAGAGAGAGGCTCTGTGAGAAGCCCATCCTCCCCCAACCCTCAAAGCAGACAGAAAAGAGCAAACATTTTGCCAGAATGGAAACAGAGAGTCGTCACAGGAAATGACACCACCAATGTGCTAATGAAGCTTGGGGCACAGGAAACGCTGCTCAGTTACAATAAGATAGCAGAAACCATGTCTTCACCCCCTGTTCCTTGGGTTGGCCGGGTGCGCTGTGGTCTGTGGGGAGTGTGGCTAAAGATGGGACAAGGTGGAGGGAGATTCATGACTGTTCCTTTGGGTTCTGAGGCAGGGAGGCAGGCTATTTTCATAGACACTTCCCTGAGTGATTTTGACAAAGCTGGTCTGTGTTTCACGTTCTGAGACTCTCTGGGTATTACCCTAAGGATGAAGCCAATGCTGGGTCAGCAGGGCCCCTGGAGGCCATTCCCTCCTGAAGCCCTGCCCTCCGTGGCCCCTGTCGGCTGGCTGTCTCCCTCACAGGACTCTTCTGGAGATCTGTCACAGTCCTGCTTGTTGTGTGGCTATCTCAGAGGCCAGAGACCCCATACCCCGTGTCTACCCAAAGTGTCCCAAACTTACACAACTGTTCAATATGTGTTTCTAGCTCCCTTCTCCTTTTTCCTTTTTCCATCTCCTAAAACTCTCTTTGCATCTCGGGAGAGTCCAAAGAAGAAGGGGCCACTAAGACTCTTATGAGGATGTGAAGAAGGGCTTCTGAGGGGCGCCTGGGTGGCTCAGTCCGTTAAGCATGCGACTTCAGCTCAGGTCATGCTCCGGGAGTAGTCTGTGAGTTCGAGCCCCACGTCAGGCTCTGTGCCGACAGCTCAGAGCCCGGAGCCTGCTTCAGATTCTGTGTCTCCCTCTCTCTCTGCCCTCCCCCTGCCCCACTCACGTTCTGTCTCTCAAAAATAATTTAACGTTAAAAAAAAAACAAAAACAAAGAAAGAAGGGCCTCTGACTTGGCTTTCCACAAGGCAATGGACTCCCAGAGGGATAGCACGGAATACAGACAGTGCCTCAGCACCATGTCTCTTCTGCCTCTTCCCAGTGGACCCTGAGGCCCATGGCCTCCCGGGGCTGCTCTCCCCGGCTTTGTGCGTCCAGGCTCTCACAAGGCCCTCAGGGCAGGGGGGCCGCTGGTGGGTCCTGGCCGGCTGTCCCCAGAGCTCTGCCTTTCCAGGTGCCCGCTGCCCTCCCTCCACGCAGCCTTACCCGGTAGGAAGCAGAGGTGGTTCAGAGGCCGCTAGTTCGAGAACCGGAAGCTGGATGTCTGTCTGCTTGTCCTTCAGATGGGGTCTGCGTAGAGCTACGACTCCTCAGGAGAAGATCCATTGCTCCATGGCCCTGGTGGCCGGGACTGGTGGAAGAGAGAAGCTAGGCTCCCCAGGCCTGTCCTGAGCCTCTGGTACCAGAAGGCTGTGTGCAAACTGGGAACTTGGAAGGCGGTCCAAGAGAAGGGCCAATGGAACCAAACCTCAGAACAGCTACTTTAAAAAAAAAAAAATTTTTTTTTTTTTTTTTTTTAAAGAAATTCTCTTGCGCGATCATCTTAAGACCTTGGTTCTCTTATCTACCCAGAATGCTTGAGTCAGACTGATCTTCCCTCCGGGTCTCCTGACTCTCCTGACTCTCTCCTCCCCCCCCCCCCCCCCCCCAGCTTGAGGGAAACAGCCTTCTGAAAGGAGGCTTTGCAGACAAGCTCCAGGTTTTCAGACCCAGCTGTGCCCTGTCACCCTGTTCTCCTTTGCCTCCCCGTTGTGCAACAACCAATCAAACCAACAGATGAGAACACAAAATAGGTGTGTGAAATTATTCATCACAATAATGGAAGAAAACGACTCACTCCTGGGAAATAGGGTATATGTTTTACATCTGATTGGCCTGGTGTTTCCCTCTAACGGCTTTCCAAGATTTCGTTCGGGGTTGAACGTGACACAGGATTCTAAAGTATTGAGATTGGTTTTAAACAGACAGAACTTACGCATCCAAGTGAGCAAAACCCGTTGATGGGGAGAGGCTCTGTGCTAACTCAGCGGATCTTGCTAATACCCGAAACCTTTCAGAGTCCTCAGGCAAGACAGAAGCACTGCGTTAAGAGTATCAGTTCAAGTTCAGATCCTAAATGACCTACTTGGGTGATCTTGGGCAGGTCCTCTAATCTTTCTGGGTGTTTCCTTGGGTGTAAATTGACAGTGTAATACTACTTAGGTAATGCTGTTGTGAAAATGAATCGGGCTAACCATGAACCATGCTTAGCTTAGGACTTGGCATATGTAGGAGCTCATTAAACGGGGGCCACTATTGTATGCTTATCTCATTATGCATTCGACTCATTTCTTTATACTTCGGTGGACTGCCCCCTTTGGTCTTTCTCTCTCCCTCTCTTGATGTTTAGCCTGCCTGCCTGCCGTGTGTCACTTTCCTTTTTTTTTTCTTTTTAATATTTTTAAAATTTTATTTATTTATTTTGAGAGAGAGAGAGAGACAGCACGTGTGGGAGAGGAGCAGCGAGCACCGGAGAGAGAGAATCCCAAGCAGGCTTCATGCTGCCGGCACAGAGCCCAACGTGGGGCTCAAACCCACGAAACCACGCGATCATGACCTGAGCTGAAGCCAAGAGTCAGGTGCTCAGCTGACTGAGCCCCCCGGGTGCCATGCATATTTATGGGAAGTCTCCCGCCACGTAGCTCTAGATGCTTAGCACACGGCACTTAGCCTCAGCGGGCACCCCTGTGCGGGCTCTCTGCACTCCACGCAGCCCTGGCTCTGGTCACTTCCACGTCCTTGGCCCTTGCGCTGGTTCCTCCACTGTGACGGACAGACTCCTCTCTGTCTCGTAAAATTCCAATAAAATCCATTTGAAGAGTTTTATACTGGTTATTTCTGGGTTGTGGGCCTTGAGGCGTTTTGTTACTTCCTTCTCGGGATTTTATCGCTTGCCTTATTATATAAAGCAAGTGTCATTTTTATAAAGAAATAGAGTTATTTTTTAAAACAATATGTCTTGTCACCACCTCGGTGAAGACTTCCCTTTCTGGACCTGGGTTTGCTCTTCTGCGTTCCCATGGCACCGGCCCTCGATTGTTGGGATTAGTTGGTCAAATGTCTGTCTCCTCGAGTAGCCTTTGAACCCCTTCAGGGCAGGGACTTTGTTTTATTTATTGCATCTCTGGCATTTGGCACGGTGCCTGACCATCATCAGAATGAGGGGAGTCCTCTGAGAAGTTCTCTCAGGTGCTTATTGTTGCCGTGAGTTTATGACCTAAGTGTGTAACGGGGTGAGATATTGGGAAAGAAATCGGTGTCCAGCATTTTCTCCCGCCGTGTGCTCATCCAGCCAAAAGAAAGAGGCAAGCCCTTCACTGTCCTCGCTGCCCCTTGTAGGAAGGGGGACCCAGCTCCCGTGTTGGGTCTCCTTTGCCCTAGGGAGGGGTTAACAGTGGCGTTTGTATTTCTTTTTCCTCTTCTTCTTTTTCTAAGGTTGATTTTTTGAGCCGGGGTGGGGGGAGGGGCAGAGAGCCAGAGACAGGACTTGAAGCTGGCCCCATGCTGGCTGCAGAGAGCCCCAGGCAGGGCTTGAACTCGCGAACTGTGAGATCATGACCTGAGCCAAAGTGGGGCGCTCGACCAACTGAGCCACCCAGGCGCCCCACAGTAGCTTTTGTATTCCTGGGCCAAAACCAAAACCAAACAAACACACGAACAAACACACACAAGCCCACGTTGCCCTGTGTGAAAGACAACTCCAGCCAGGCTTTGTTTGGGAAGGTTTGGGGGCTGCAGCAACCACACCACAGCAGGGTGCCGCTGGAGCCTTAAACCCCCCCCCCCCCCCCAACTCTCCTGTTGGCTTGTTTCTGCGCTGGAGGCCTTCTCTAGTCCAGGCAAGTCTGAAACCCAGAACAAAGGCAGCAAATACTTTCCTTTTAAGTTAAACTTGAGAGAGAGCAGGGTTAGGATAAATAGATTTTGAAAGTATGGAAATAGTTCTCTGCTCCCCCGCCCCCGGCTCTGCCCAAGGCCCTTGGGGAGAGAGAGGAGAATTTGGAAGCAAGAGGGTTGTCCCCCAGTGAGGCTAGGCCTTCCTGGAAGAGGTGGCTTGGTGATGGGCAAGAGAGCACCCTCCTTAAGTCTGGCGGGCAGACGTCTGCCTTCTTGGTCCCTCTGGAGTTCCGTGTTTGGTAGCCTCCCCTGGAGCCCTAGCGGCTGGAGAGCCACGAAGCAGAGATAACTGTGAGGTGTTATCTCTGATGAGCAAATGTCTGCTGACCACCCCAAGTCTCCCCTCAGCAACGGTGCCTGGCACAGTGTGTGCTTGTTGAATGGATGAGCGGACCAGCGTCCAAGGCTGGGGAGGAGACGAGACCATTAAAAAAATGACAGGCCTCTTGCCGATCTTAGCTAGTTTGGTGCTAGGCTTTATTTAATTAAGAAAAGAAACAGATTTCCTGTACTTTAAGGGCTGCGGAGCAATTTGTCTTTGTTGTCGGTATAAGTGGCTGAGCCCCGGGTGGAGCCTGCCCGTGCACGTCCCGGTATGCTCCAACGTCCAATGC